ACATGGTGATTTCCAAGTACAAAAATCAAACGAATATTCATATTTGACCTGATTGTTTATAGGTCATAATGCGTGATCAAAACCGAAAGTTTCTGTGATGACTGCCCTTGTACTGTTCACCATGTAAGAATTTATTCACAATGTAAGAATTCGTTCACCATGTAAGAACTTGTTCGTTATGCTTCAGAAGATTGGAGACTGACGAGAATTAGGCTTGAGATGGATTAATGATTGTACATTGAGCATTGACCCCCCATACTGAATTTTATTGTTGTTAACAACCATTTGATCAATAAATATGAGAGATGCCCTCTCAAAAAAAAAAAAAAAAACATGGTGATTTCATATCTCTTCTGAAGAGGCCCTGGGCCACTGTCTTTACTCAGCTGCCGATACACAATCTTGCCTGTACCACCACAGATAAACATATCCCAGTGGGAGCTTCCCTAATTATGTAACATGTTATACATATTTAGTATATATTATTATATATGAATAATTATAATATACAATTTATTTACAATGTATTAACATGTATATATAATATATATTTGTATTATTATATTCAGTATTATTACATTATATGGTATGTCAGACATATGCTCAGGTTTTCTACCTTTTGCAACACATTTCAGGTTTTTGCTGCCTATTGCCCATTTTCTCCTTCACTTATTTCTATAGCTGTTCAGAGTTTAAACCTCTAATAGTCACAAATCTGTAGTGAAGAATCGTTTTTCTTCTTAAACACCTTTATTTCAATAATTTCACATAAACTGGATTTCTATTACTTAGGAGAGTTCAAGTCAATGCACACTGTGTGCTCTTCCTCTGTACCCTCAAACAGTCCTTGTCATGTCATCTGTTTGGATATGTCACCTCTTATTTAGAAACACTTATTGCGTTTTGTAGAAATACTCTTAGTCTCAGTATCAGTCACTGTAAAAAAAAATCACTTTGGGTACAGGTTGTTTAGCACATATGTTGCAAAAAGGTTTGTTTTTTCTTCAGCATGCCCTGCAGCACGGCTAAGTTAGACCGCTGTCTTTCTGAAGCCTGGAAGCCTGGCGTTCTGGGACCCGCAACTCTGTGCTGTGCACCTTTGTCCCTGACCTGCCTGTGCTATGGCAATTAGGTCATAGAGGAAAGAGCCAAATTCTGGTTCTTTGGGCAGGAAGTCATTTGTCTTCCATTTCAACCTTCTCTCTGTGAGCTAGCTCAGCCCACCCACGAGGCTGTCAGCCTTTCAAGACATTCATGTCTACCTGTCATTTGGCTTGTTCCCTGCCAACTCGACTTTCACCCAGTTCCTGACTGGTCCACTGGACCTGCAGCAGGTCATTCCTTTGGCATCTTAAAGCAGCCTATGGACTTTCGAGATGGATCTTGAGTCTCTAGCTCAATGTCCTAGGAAGGGCTTTGACTTGGAATAAAGCTGGGTGCTCCCCAACACTTGGATTGATAGAGGTTGTGATTTCCCTTGTGATTCTTGAGGCCAAAAACAAGGTCTTGGCCCACTGAGAGGTCTCCACTGTCTTCTCATCCCCAAGGAGGAGATTTGGACACTCTCAGATTAGGATCCAAGTTGATGGTGGATGCTTCGCTGGGCAGAGCCAGAAGCCTCATAACTTTTAACAATTGGTAACTTGGTAAAATACCAATCTAACGTTGATAAAGAAAGACCTGACCTAGCTGCCATGGCTGGGCTTTTCATCATTTCACCCCTCAATGGCTATTTTGAAAAAGTTTAACAGCAAAGTTGGGAAAAAGAGACTGGTAAGCTCTAAAGAATCTAATTTTAAAACAAATTTTCTATCCCTTATTAAGCTTCCAGCATTGAAAAAAAGTGAAATGTACAACTTAGATAATATCTGGTGAACTCTGTTCTGCACTGCCTGCCTCTTTATTGAAACCTGTGGTATCATAAGAGACTCACTGAAATATCCGTTAATGAAAAGCTGGACAGCAAGAAAAAAAGTAATAAGGACATTTTATCTCTTTGGAAGCCTTCTAATAAAAAAAAGGAAGGAGAAGTTAAGTTCATTTTAACTGATGAAAGAAACATGGATTTCATCAAGTTAGAAAGACAAATAAACACTGCTTGGGGCAGGCAACATTCCTCTGCTCCTTGGTTAGAGGTATTGAGCATTTCTCTACTGGAACATGAATTAGGCTTACTGTGGCTGTTTTCATATTTGGTTTTCCTAGGATTAGCATCATTTCTTATTTATAAGGGCATATTCCCAGTGATGAGCACAGTGCTTGACATGGAGCTGGTGCTCAATAAATCATTCTCGAATGGATGAATGAAAGATAATGCATGATCTGTTCCTGCAGGAAAGTAATATCTACTTGGGAAGAGAAGACACAAAGACCCACAAAAATAAATGATGCTTCCTATCATTTTATTCATTGTTCATTTTTCAGTGTTATTACTGTATTCCTTACCATTGGTTTTGCGGTGTTTGTAATCAGTCCTAAGGTGGTCAATGATGCTCTTTGCATACTGGACTGTGTCCAGTTTCTCCAATATGTTAACCTCATGTTTGCTTCCCAATTATGCCTGGTGTGCTCATGTTCCTCAATAGTTGATTAACCCATGTTCATCCTTCAAGTTCCTGCAGAAAAGTCATTTCCTCCTGGAAGTCCACTGTGATTGTCTGGGCTAGGTTACCTGGTCCTGCTGCGTTTCAGAGCAACATTCAGAATGCTACTTGTGATGACTCTTTCTGGATGTCTCCCCTGATGGAGTGTGAGCCCCAAGAGGGAAGAGGCAGCCTCCGTCATGTCCATCTCTTCACCAGGGTTCAGCATAGCAGGTGTTCCATAACTCCTTGTATAATGATCAGAAATCTTCTCTTTAGGACAGCCTTGAGATAGGTCAGAGGCTCTGGAGCATGGAGCTGTTTCTGGAACTGAGGGGGACCAGAGGCCTGTACTAGAGAAGAATGGGCTCAACGTATGTGGCCCATGGATCAGCACCACTGGCATCACCTGGAGCTTGTTAGAATTGCAGCTTCTCAGACCCCACCCCAGAGCTGGGTGATTTGTACACATGTTCAAATTGGAGAAGCACTGCTTTTAGACAGTTTGTCTGACCACATGATGCAGAGAAAAAGGACAGACTTTGAGAGTTGCCCTTTCTAGGAGACTGAGGACCCTGAACAGGCCTGGGAGACTGCCTGGATACAGGGACAAGGGTGGCCTCAGGGACCCCCTGAAGGCTCCTGAGTTCAAATGCAACCCACTTCTGACCTCATAGAACACAAGTAAACTGAATACCTCTGGGGAAAAGGCTGTTTGCCAGTGAATTCTCTTCACAGACACTGTGGAACTGTCATTCCAGTTGGACATCAAGAAGAGATGGGCAGCCCATACTAGACTCAAAGTTCAGATGCCTAGGGCCCTGGCTGGCTTTGCAGTTTCGGAGCCATACAAAAGAGATCTCAAGCAGATCCTGCAAGTATCCTCTCCGCCTGTCCCACCCAACCTCACTGGACATGTGATTCACTTGCAGGCTAGATGAGGGGACAGAACATCCACAGCTAAGAAGCCTGCAGCTTCAGGGCCCTGTGAGAGAAGGTAGACAGATAGGGTTTGGCAAAGAGGAGGCCAGCATAGGCTGTAGGCAGGGTGAGGCAGTGGGGATCTGGGTTCAAGTTTCTGGCTCAGGGCTGTTTTGTAAAAGCAGGAGAAGTGAAATTTCTAGAATCCGAGTCAGGGCTGTACCAAGACCTTCTCTGCCACAAGTGACTTCTCAGTCACAGACATGCCTAAACCCTCTTCCAGTCTGAGGGCCTCAGGAGCTCAGGATACCTTGGTAGCAGGTGGATATGTGGACTGGGGTGGGAATAGGTGGAGGTTTGTTTCAGGCTGTTATCAAATCACCAGACCTGGAGCCAGTCCCCCACCCCCCATCCCAGCCCCATAGCTCCCCTAGCCTGAACAAATGCACTTCACACAATTCCCTCTCTCTTTTTTAAAAAGTTGAAGTATAGTTGGTATTCAATGTTTCATTAGTTTCAGGTGTACAACATAGTGATTTGTGTCACAATTATTTCTTGCAAAGCCACCCTGCATTGCGTCTTTGCACTTTAGTTCTCAGAGGTGGCTTTCCTAGATCTCTGAAGGAATACACCTCTGTTTTACACAGATCACCTCTGCTTAAACTAAACCTGGCAGCTTATTGAAACACCCCCTCTGCTTGGCAATGCCAAGGTCCTCAGACCCACATCCCTAAGCCCTGAATAGCTGCCCCTGCTGTTTCAGCGGAGCGCTGAATTCCACGCATCCATCCAAAGCTGAGCCCCTGCCAACCCCCTTTCTGGTTCCTGTCTCACCAGCGCCCAGTGCTGACTCACGGGATTGCTCAAGGTGCTGTTGGCTGTTTTGCCCATTTGCAGAAGGGAGGCAATTTAAGATTGTCTTTGGGGGCTGTGCTTTGCAGTCCTAGGAAGGAGTCTTCCTGAGTTAACTGTGGGTATAGGGCATAGGGAGTGGGGAAAGAGGGTATTCGGAAAGAGGATGAGGGACTGGGAATAACGTTCACATATGTGCCAAGATAATGGCAATACTGCGTGATAGATCAAAGTTGGTCTCAGAATCTTTCTGGCTTTGTTTTCCTTTCTGGCTTTTTATCTTACTTTCACCCTCCCACTACTTTATCTCACCTTCTTCATCTGTAAAATGGGTTGTTGTGACGTTTACCTGTATGTCACGTGCTTTGTGCGGTGCCTGCTCCCTGGAAAGCGCTCAGTTAATGTTTGCTATTATCTGTCTTGCTGTGTTCCGTGGACTAACCGGAGCGCTCGAGGACACCCAATCTGCTATCCTCCGAGTCCCCAAGCTCAATAGTGCACTAGGGAGGCTGGTTGGAAAATCCTGCGCAAAAGGCCAAGGGTTGGTGGTCCCGGGGAGGCCCCGGTGATCTCCCGGCCTGAGCCCGCCCCGGCTCTGAACGCTGAGCTGCGGGCGGGGGCGACGGCCCGGCGCTCCTCCCGGCGGGCGCGTCGGCGGGCGGGGCTCCGCGCCCTGCCCTGGGCAGGCAATATAGCTGCTCGGCCGGGCGAGGCGCTGGCGCGTGGGGGCAGCGCGGCGGGAGGGGGCTGGGACTCAGAGATCCGGTCGGCGGGCACCGGGGCGGCCTGGAGCAGGGCGAGCACCATGAGCAGCATTTGCGACGTGGTCGTGGTGGGGGGCGGCATCTCAGGTCAGTCGCGACTGCGCGCCCTCCCTCCTCCAGCGCTCGGACAGGTGGTCGCCCGGGGGAGGCGCGCGGGGCGGGGGCTGTCCCCAGGAGCCCCTAGACTAGCCGTGCTCTGGGCCGGGACCCAGCGGGCCCCGAACGCCGCGCCGGGAACCCTTACTCGGGGGAAGGATTTTAGTGCGCCCCTGGACAGAAGCCGGGGACTGGAAATTTGTTGAAGGTTGGGGCCAGACTTTGAACTTCTCCCCTGGAAGGCTGCCAAGCCTGCGCTTGCTAGAATTTTCGAAGCAGGTGAAAGAGGGCAGGCAGGCAAGATTCCTACTAGGGGTAACACAAAGGTCAGTCACGTGTCCCAAGCAAAGGTTGTCACAATTACTTGGTGTTTTCCTCATGTAGCAAATAAAACAATTGTGTAAGGCCTTGGAAGCCTGCTTTCTTGGTTTTTAGAACAATGCCTATTGCATGCAATGTTCTTGATAAAAGGCAGATGTACTCATCAGTCCCTTGTCTTGAGAGTGTGGGGATGACTGTAGAGGCTCACCTGGACACTGCACCCTCGCTCATTTGGAGCAGGTGTGCTTCACAAGGCATTGTTATCCCGGCGCCAGGAAAACGACCTTGAACAGTCTGTGGTTCAGAAAGAAGGGATTGGGCTCCAGAGCAATCGAGTGCCGAAGACACTCCTGACTCTGATTCTCTGTGGTTCTGTGATGGTCATGGGTCTATCCGGTACTGCAGACTCTTCTTGGCAAATACCGCTTCTTCTTGCATCACCAGCCCTATCCCTGTCCCTGCCCCTCCTCCACCCACCCACCAGTGCAGGGTGGACAAGGTGCTCAGTGGGCTAGAGTGGAAAATTGGCTCTCTGGCCCAGCCCATTTTTGGCAGGGATAGGGACAGAGACTACCTTCTTAGATGCAAGGGGGTCTGTGTGTACAGCAGGACACACAGACAGAAGCCAGAAGGATGGATGGGGTCAATGGGAATAAACAATGCTTACAGAACAGCCTGACTAACAGAGCCCTGGAGATGCTTTGGCCAAGCTCCCAGGCCCTCTTGGTGCTTCAGCAATAATTAAGACACCTCCCAAACCCATGAAGGCATTGGCTAAAACTGGCCCTAAGCAGATCTCAGGAGCAGGGGTGTGTCTGCCTCCCTAAGAGGCAGGCAGGACAGAGGCCCTCAGGTTCTGCTCTTCCTGGTGAAGGAACCAAGGTGTTGCATTCTGGGTGCTGAGCCTGGTTTTGTGCTGCTCTCTCTACTCTGGTCCGCCTCACCTTTGGGTCAGATCTCGGGCTGCCACTTCTGTCTATGTGAGCCTGAGCTCACTCATGCCAGGCTCTGTGCCCCATGCTGCAGGTAAATAGATGCATAAGCACAAGGGCGTGCTGAGGTGGACCAAGCTATATAGATCCTGTTTTCTTTCAGTGTTTTTGACATCTTCTTCCCTAGAGGTACTTGGACTTAAAAGCATATCTACCTCGGTGCTTTAGAAAATATTGCTAAGTACTTCTCGATGCTGCCTTGCACAGCTCCCCATCTTATGGCAGCTGAATGTTCTCTTTCCAGGACCCCAGAGTCTTTTTTTTGCCCAAAGGGTTCAGATTCTTTTATTGCCACCTTTATTTTGCTCTGTCTGATTCATACTCCAAACCTTCAAGCTTACTTAAATTATTCACGTTAGACTCATACAGGAAGAGTAGATAAGGGTTTAAGTCATTTTTACAAGCAGTGGTGAGCCTCTACAGTCATCCCCACACTCTCAAGACAAGGGACTGATGAGTACATCTGCCTTTTATCAAGAACATTGCATGCAATAGGCATTGTTCTAAAAACCAAGAAAGCAGGCTTCCAAGGCCTTACACAATTGTTTTATTTGCTACATGAGGAAAACACCAAGTAATTGTGGCTAGATTACAGGGGCATTGTGAAAGGCAAGTGAAACAATGTATGTGAAAATAGCTTTGTAAAGTCTGACATATGACACAAGGTCCTGCAAGAATTTTACTCATTTTTTCAAATAGGCATCAGGGTAGACCATGGTAGAGGGTGCCAAAATGGATCACATCATTCCTGCCCTAGAAGATATGTCAGTCCAGGAGGGGCGATGAGATACTCAAAGATAATCCAAGGTAGAAAGTGGTACGTACCACAGGAAGAGTCCATTCATGTATTCATTATTCATTCAGTCAGTAAACATTTAACTGTCTATCCCACATCCTATCCCAAAGGAAATAAAGGCTGAATTATCCAGGACTCTTGCCCCTGGGCACTCACAGGCTCATGTGGGAGACAGTCATGAACAATTAATACTAATGACCTAGGATAGATGCTTTAGTGGTACATGCACAAAGTTCTAGGGAAGGTGATTGTAGAAAATGAAGAACTCTGCCTGAGAAAAATCTGGGCAGACTTCACAGAGGAGGTGACCTTTGTAGTAGGTCTTAAAGGATGAATAGGAAGTCACCAGGAGACTAGATGTAGAAAGCATCTTAATCTAAGGAACAGTTTATATAAACTCACAAATATGTGAGAGAACACAGTAGCAGGCTTAGGAAACCTTAAGAACTTCAGCGTGGACAGTTTGGGGTCTTATGGGAGACCAAGCTATACAAAGGTTAGTTGGGATGAATTGTGGTGAGCCATGTATGTCATCCTCAAAAAGCTTAGATCTTTCTTTCATCAATGAATGGTCACTGAGGATTCGTCATTTACAGAGTGACATGTGTCAAGTGATAGGAATATGGTGATGGTATTAGCAAAAAAAGGAATGTGAAGAAGAGGAAGAGCAAGTTTGGGGGAAAGATGAGATACCTGGAGTTGGAGATACTGGGAGGATCCCTGGGGAGGGATGTCTAGCAGTCACAAATGCAGGGAAGAAGTTGGGCTTGCAGATGTGTGTGACAGAGAAGTTTTAGTTGAAGCCCCTGAAGTAAATGAAATGACACAAACCAAGAGACCAGAGCTGGAAGGGAGGGTGCTTACCTCCTCCCCGGCAAGGCGGGTATTTCAGTGATTCTCTGTAGTTTGATGAGAGAGACAAGCGGACAGAATGAACAATACTTAAGTTTACCTCACGTCTTAGCCGAGGTATCTTTCCCAGGGCAGCCTTCCTGAATCCCTCCCAGGTCACATTAAATGCCTGTTTAGCTCTCCTCTGCCATCTTTTCTTTTCCATGAGTTTTTAATCGTTCACTTTCTCCTCCTCTAGGCTGTAAGCCTCTGGAGCCCGGGGAGGTGTTCTCCCACCCTCAGAGAACCCACAACCCCCAGCTCCAGAGTCCTGCCTGGCCCAGTTAGCACTCAATAAGGGTGCTGAATTGACGAACTATAACTTTACACTGATAAAACAGCAATCGCTCAGATCTGAAATTCACATCCATTTACTACTGACCCTTTAGCATTCCCTGCCAAATCACAGTAAGAATGAGGAAAGTGGTAAAATCAGAATTTCAGAATTAGCAGGTGACCTCTAAGAGGGTTTATGTCTAAAAGTGTCTGATTTTGCCTCTGGTCTTTAAACTTTGTTAATGATTAAACTTAGGACATCCTGATAATTCTCTGATAGTTTTTAAAGCTGTCAGCAAATTGTAATCACTGCCTTTGGGATAAACAGACATATCTTGGGGGTGCCGCTGGTTAATCTATAACTTTCTTTTTTGCCATTTGGAAAATTGCAAGGCAATTATAAAATAGCTTTTTCAGAAATGTACATGGTATATAAATGCATTATCCACTGAGCTGGCTTCACCAAAGGAGCAGGCCATGTCTGGAGACTTGGCAGAGTAACAGCATTTTCCATATGCAGCTGAGCAACAGCACATTGCTTCTGTCCTGCATCTTGGTTTTAGTGTTTGGGCTGGTGGAACCATGGAAACTGTCTTTGCAATTCTGGAGTGGCTCTTGCTCAGTCCTCAAAATACAAGCTCAAAAAAAGGGAAACCTGAAGCAGGAAAAAGAACATTTTTACCAGGCTTGAGAAAAGAGATGTGGCCCTCTGAGGGTGGCAGGTACTTGGCTGAGATCCTGGAAGGGACGGAGCCAGACTTCCAGTTGTAACCAACATCTGGCCGGCCTGCTGCAGGCTGGGGTTTGGGGTGGTCTGTCCTGGGCAAGAAGCATCAGCAGTGGTTCCCTAAGGGGTCATGAGTTGAGGGACACAGTAGGCAGAAGTGGCCCATGGGTTAATGCCAAAGTGTCTTCCTTGCCTTTGATGAAGAAAGGAGAACATCCCTGGGCTCCTGTAACCCACCTGAATGTTGTAAAAAAACAATAATTGCACAGAAGTGTTTGGAAATGTGCATATCTCAGTCAAAGAGAGGATACAGAGGAGCAGTGTTAAGGCAACATATAGTTTAGCATCAAATAGACTGTGAACCCCATTTCCTACACTTACCTACTGTGTCATTTTAAAAGTTCCATTGGTGCTCTGTTCTTCAGCTGCCTCACCTCCCCTATAAAATGAGACTCCTAAAGTCTGCCTTTGCTGGCCAGAGAGGGCTGTTGCTGAGGTTAGAAAAAATGCACAGGAACGACTCTCCGTGCCGGTCATTATGGCTTCCATTTGTACCTTTTGGAAAATAGATCCTTGGTTAGGGTTTAGGGAGTTTCAATCCATGGGAAGTGATTACACCACTTTTGCTCTTCACCAACCAGTAGGTTTTCTTGCTGTGAGGCATTTATAAGGCAGCAACAGGTTGCGAGGTGTATGTGCTGGCATGGGACCTACCTAGTTCTGGCCTCATCCTGCCATACCCGCCTCCCTTTCCTCTCTCCAGCCAGAGACCTAAGGAGCTCAGGCTCACCCAGACTCTGGGACCCACTGTGCACCTCATCAAGAGAAATTTTGGAAGCCCTAGATCTGTATTTCAGCACCATTCCAGCCTGGCTGTTATTCTGACCCAGTCCTCATTTCAGCCATCTGACTCCTGCCTCAATTATAATCAATGACATATGTCAATGATATTTTATTTATTTATTAGCATTCGTTATTTAATAATAAA